GAAATAAAAGGGGTAGGAAAAAAAAGAGAAAGAGAGATGAGTGTGTGAGAGATAGACGCTGTGTAAATCTGGTCCCGATTCAACTGATGATATAGTAAGTAATTATTTGCAATGCCACCAAATTTATCATTTAGCTAACAATACAGACACGTTGAATTGTTTGTTTGGGCTCTCAAAAGAATCACCCCCATCGCCAGGTATTTGGGGCATGTGTGGTATTTCAATTTCAACAAAGGTACAATACCGGTATAGACATTTTATAGGATAATTCCATACTGGTATACTTACGTTTATCGGGGAGATAAAGTCTCGACATAATATGAGTCACACTCTTCTCATTCTCTCGCAAAAATATTGTGAATAAAAGACATTAAAAAGCCACACATTATTGATTATGAAGGTCAGATTTGATTTGGAAGCTATTTCTACCCTTTTTAAATTGCTATCAAATAATTCGGAATGTTGTACAATAACTGGTAATTTAATGAATATGCGGCTCAAGATCTTTGAACTGAATTGATATAGTTTAAAAAACGCCCCAACTCTTCCACAATACGATCTCTCACACCCGCCCACGTTATTCGACATTCTTCAAAATTATGATTGTTTGTGATTAATAGTTTACATAAATAAAGCAAACCGTATTACAGTAACCACGATATACATGTTCGTAAACTTCATAACGTGTTCAAATTCCTGATAATATTCAAGAAGTAAAGACCAACAGGACAGTGGTAATGAATACCGGGAAAAGCAACAGATGGAACTGGATTCAAAAGTGATCTCAATCATGTCCAGGAAACCTTTAACAATTATTCAAACACATACAAAACAACTTAATTATAAAACTCTACAATCACAAATGAAGCGGCCAATGCATTATCGGCTATCTATCAATAATATCAAATTAGATTTTCACCCAATTTTACAGAAGGGAGTTCCTTTGTGGTTGTTGAGAATTATTTTGATGATAGCATGCTTTCATCAAAGGAATCGAACAAAATTGGATTTAAATCTTTAATTATCATAATCTTGCACGGCATCGAGGATAATTGCTGGATATTCCATTTTAAAAATAGCATTTGTTATTGAGACCTGGAGATACAGCGTGCTCAGACCTATCTAGGAATAATCGTATAAATCTCTTTGCGATTGAAGATGAAGAAGAGAACGCGATACTTTATGTCATTATTCACAAGCAATTCAGACAAAATGTCCTGAATATTCACAGGATTTAGAATTCTCCTATATCTAACCTCTCAGAGTTAACAGGCTTGTATACATGTCCTCGTCATGCTCTCTCTCTCTCTCTCTCTCTCTCTCTCTCTCTCTCTCTCTCGCTCTCTCTCTCTCTCTTTCTCTCTTTCTCTCTTTCTATCTCTCTCTGTCTGTTCTCCTAACTCTATCGATATATTTCTCACCCTCTCTCTCTCTCTCTCTATCTCTCTCTCTCTTATCCATTTAATTCAGCTTTTTAACGTTTTGTGCCATTAAAGAAAACTGTAGATATCCAAAAGAAGAATTGTTTACTTAACTTTTTTGTATGCATTTTAAATTTAAAAAAAGTTAAATGCCACATTTTGGTGAGCTGATGAGAAATACAACGTAGTAAAATATGGGGGAGTGGGTAGGCATATAGCCCAAGTATTATACAGGCATTATTATAGGCTTCCGTTTTCCCTCTTCGTCAAACCATCCTTTTTTAAGAAGTCGAAATCAAAGCATATTCAATGTAACTAACTTTTACAAAGTTGTTCTGTTTATATACAGGAACCATGCGGAAGGGTAAATATTTATGATACAGAAAAATGATTAAGACAAAAAGTCTAAGACTATATTATGTATAACCACTGGGGAACCGCTAAGTCTCGACCGAAATAATACGATATGACTAAAAAAATAAAAAAAATAGCATGTATGAGTGTCAAAGCGAGGAATATGATTCATGATGATGAAAATGTAGTAATTCGGTGGTAAATTAACCAGGAAGTACATCCTCAACTCAATTGTTATACAGTGATATTAAATGGGAGAACAGTGTATCATTTACATAACATTAACCATAGATTGTTGCACAAGGTTTATTAGGTGTGTTTAATAGATTAATGACCCCTTGATTTTTTTTTTTTTTTTTTTTTTTTTTTTTTTTGGGGGGGGGGGGTCATATTTTCCCGTTAAATCATAAAACCTTATATATTCGGTTGTTACATGTAGATCCACAAAATAGTGTCGTTGTTATGTGTTCTGGTTTGAAAAAGAGCACTTGTCTTCGTTTGTTGGACATTTCCTCGTTAATGGAGGTTTAAATTGAATATATAATGAAAGAAAGCTTATGTAATATTAGTACGTTTTAGACAAAAAATCCTGTGTTAATTCAACTTTCAATATTATCTATATACCATAACAATTTCAAAATGTAGACTTGGAATAATCAGTAATAATGTTACTTCGTTTCGAGCAAGGGCATACCGACACTCGCTGTTTTTCGTCAACCACTTTTTAAACAATATGTCAATGGCTTCGGAGAAACACCTAAATGTTTTTGTAGGATATCTATTTTTCTGATTTAAACGTTTCCTGAAACTTTTTCCTAGGTCGTGACTCAACATAATATACTCTTTCTCCATTTCATCATTAAATACCAATCCCCCCCCCACCCCCTCTCTCTCTCTCTCTCTCTCTCTCTCTCTCTCTCTTTGCAGTCGATGGTGATTTTTTTTTTTATCGAGAATATTCTTTTCAGAAGAAAGAGTTGTTTCTCTTCTTGGAATTTTGTCGGTCGCCTGGTCTGGGCATTGTCGGATCTATTTCTGACCCCAAAGGCTCTGGGTACTTATCCTTCCGGGAAATGGTACCAAATTTAGCTGCTCCGTTCGGAAATAGACAAGATCACTCCCCTATATAATACCCATGACCGAAATATGACAAGAAATTGAATTTTCTTTTATCCTCGACTTTGAAATCATGAAAACTGACAATAAAAACAAAGATGAGTTTCAGATATTCATGATCAAAGTACACACAATTTCGGAAATGTTTCTTAGATTTCAAGATTTCCTGTTTTCCACAAGTTTTCCAGTGAAACGGCTGAATCCAAGCAAGAATTCGAAATCTATTAAATTAAAAAATGTTATCTTTCATTTTGTGTCTAAACAACAGCAAGCACTACTTGCCTCTGGCAAAGATACAATTTGAAGAATATTGATGCAGGTCTAACATTATGAGAGGAATAATAGTTGAATTTGAATATTATCTCTTCATATGAATAGTTGAAAATACTAATTGGCAAAAAAGTGTATTTTATGCAATTTAGAAAAAAACTATTTCAATTTCGAATATTTCGAATATCTGTTATTGTCACTCCCGTTATATATCAATGTTGATTGTAAGCATGCTGGCCGAGGTACATTCCCTCTTTTGTTTATCAACTTTGCATCTATTCAGGACCAAGATGTATAACAGGTTTATCTGATTCTTGTCATCCCGATTAAATATGCTTTTATAAAAATAATAATATTATGATAAGTAAAGTTAGAGTATGAGAGAACCTTTCATTTCAGAATGTAAAAGTAATTTAACTTTATATTTCTTACGCGAAGCTTTATTTTAATTTTACGATGAAATACGAGAGGGGGTTTTATTCGGTTATTCGTTGTTAGTGAAGATGGCAGTAAAGATCTCAGGACTGATTTTCAGTTATGTTGTAAAGATGGGCTCCTCCTAATCGGATTTGCTTAAAGACCACTTACCTCTTTATCCTATGTATAGGATTGTGTTTCGAATATTGTGTTCAAAGTACGTCCGTATATGTTGTATAGGGCTACCGAGAAAAGGACTTGAGCCTAGACAGATCAATGTCGGTTAATTGGAGTAGATTGTGTCTGCGGTTTTATTCCGTGGCATCCATGCTTCTAAATCCATCCGACCTGTATCAACCTACGCTACCAACATCCTAGTATTTCTAAACGGATTTCACCGAGGTTCAGGGGAAGGTGATCTGATGGGAAAACTTTGTTTGCTTATTTTTGTGACATCATTTCCCTATTTGTATCCTCTTTGATTCAGTTTCATCCGATTTTCAAGTCCGACGGAACCAGGGGAAACACCACCAACCGATTTAGAACTGTAGGTGGGTGTGGAATCTGTTTGAATCATTTTCCATTTAAAAAGGAGGGGGTTGTGATCCCGAGATATCCACTAGACGTTTGTTTAATGCGGCATTAGATGTTGTTGGTGATGTACTTGTTATAACCTTGACTTATAAATATATAAACTATACAAATAATTCTAGGCCTACATAACGGTTAAATAGAACGTAAAAGTCATATAATTTGAATTTTAACCTTTTATACTGCCAATTTTCGAAGATCAAGAAATATTTAAATATTTCTTGATACTGCTCTTATAAATTTTCTTCCTATAAACGATTTGCTTCTTATTTTTATTTTGTCTGAATCATATATTTTAAAAGAGATCATTGATACTACACAACGGGGCGGGGCGGGGGCAACGGAAATATTAGGTGGATATATAATGCGAGAAAACAATTTTGGGAAGGATGTGGTGGGGGGGGGGGGTTGGATCACCTCTTCTCCCTTTTTTTCTTAATATCCCAAACGCAAATCGAAGTGGGCATGTGCCCCTAGTGCCCCACATTTCTGGCATAGGAAAAGCAGTATAGGAACTTATCGTAGTTAAATACTTTTTAGAATTCACAGTTAAATCTGGAAATATTTGGGGAATGTTGATCCCGCCCCGCCCCGCCCCATCCCGTGATCTGTAATAATATGTCATCTCGTTATTCAACCTTTTATCGATTTCCGTGTCGGAAGAACTATCATCTAACGTCTTACTTTGGTATGTATACAGTAAAAAACTTATACTACAATTTTCCATGGAAAGTTAGAGCGCCATCCCCGTCCTCAAACCATACAGGGTGAACCACTTTGCCGCGAGATTAGGTGGTTAGCAACGATACCGGCTTCTGTTAGCAACGGGTCGATGGCAGGCGAACCGTGACCACGTATACAACAGCGACAATAATGAGTGTACATCCCATGTATAGGCAGGCGTGATGTGTTTGGGACACATGAGGATTGGATTAGTACGTCTTTCACGCGAATGACTATATACCTCAAAAGGTCCGATTTAATCTTAAATCCGGATAATTCCACGTAAATGGCTCAAGCTGAGTTATCTTACATAAAGTTAGATGAGAACACGTATCGGTTGCAATATTCAGATGTCAAGCAGATTGTAGTTTAGATGATTATAGCGGATGCAATTTGATTATTCGAAGATTTGGAGCTGATCAAAATAGCAGTATCGGCCATCATGGCGAATGATTTATCAAGATCATTTAATGGAACCTGGCAGCCTACATCAACACGACCTGACAGCGTGACACCGACCAGGGAATATGTCACAGAGGTAAGATAATCATCTTCATAATATTCAAGAGTCACATGGTCGAGGATACCCAAAGTATAAGGGTCGATATATTTTGGGCCCATGACATTGAAACGTTTAGATACCGCTAACCGCTGAGATATACCTTACACAGAAGGAAGTATATGCATAATATATAACTACACTATGTTGCTGTTGACGTAAAATCAATCCCTCATGTACTGTTGTCTGTTGTGAAAATGTGGAAAGTAGGCCAGGTGGAATGTGAGTAGATTGTACCTTCATGGGCAAGTTGGCTCAGTCGGTAAAGCGTCTGCCTGTCGAACCAAAGATCTCGGGTTCGAATCCCATCCCGGCGGATGATCGAAGCCTGCGTTGTGTTTTAACGTGCCCCTCCCCTTAAGTTGAAAACACTCCGTCCCTCGGATAGGACGTTGAATGGAGGCCCCGTGTACAGGAGAGTCACCACCTTTACACGTTAAGGACCCACTGCACCATTCGTATAAGAGTAGAGGGAAACCCTGTTGTAGTGGTCCACCTGCACACCCAAGTAATCAACCTTGGCGTTATATCCTTATTTACGGATCTGTCAAGTATCGACGTAGAAATAGAAGTTCAAGTTACTATTATTCCGGAACGTGCATTTTACAGTATTTAGCCTACTAGTATCTATTCCCTGCTCAGTTTTAGTATATACATTTGGGAGTGGAGCTTATACAGCTTACATTATGATATTATGTGAATGTGTTAATATATTATCTCACTGTAAATATTTGCAGGGCATTACATCATACTTATTAATATTTTTATTGATAAGACAGACGGCGTTCCCTGGCACCATGTGCATGGAACATGAAATGTTGCCCATTATCAGTACAATTATGTTTATACTCACCATCCAAGTGAGCACTAATTTTTTGGCCCTCGAAAATTTGAAAAATCGCCCCCCCCCCCCCCCCCCCCCCCCTTGAGCGACAGGGGAGGGGCCATCTAAAAAAAAAGGTAAAATTAACGTATTTTTTTCCAGGGGAGGAGCCCGGCCCCCCTGGACAATTCCTCGAATATCGGAAATTTTATAATTGCCAAGGAGATGCATCACAAACTCTTCCCTGCCTCATATGCCTACACTGGTTGTATCTTCGTCGGAATCAAACGACGTAAAAAAAAATAATGAAACTCAATCATCATTTTGGAAGATTTATATCGCAGTATGATTTGATTGTCCATGATGTATTCACTTTCATGGACGTTTTTTTTTTTTTTTTTTTGGCTCACGATAATCGAGCAATTACCATGTTTTTCCAAACGGATCGACGCCCACGCATTGACCCCCTCCCCAACCCCCCCCCCCCGAACCCGCCATCCAAAATCGTTCATTGACACCTCTTTGTTATCTACACAAAGACCATACACGCCATGTTCGTACAATGCTGTAGTTCTTTTTAACAAGGAGCACAACACTAGTCATAACCCGTGTCACAGTCATTCTCTGTAACATTTTGTCTTGGTTAAATCAATATTGATTATCCCAAGGCCAACGACATGCAGTAGCAGAACAACTTTGAAAACCAATTGCTTTGACTTTAATTGATTGCCAAGATGTAGCCCAGGGACGTTTGGGTTTTCACTCCTAGCTGAGAAACAATGTGATGACTGGTGATTGACGTTTTATCCTGACGTACTCTCATATCATAAGTTTTCTGACGTGGCTGAGTCTCGAATCCAGAACCTTGGTATTGGAACCATTGATGTATCCGCTGGTCCTTTACACCATGCCCCCCCACGCCAATTTTTATTTTAGATGGCGTATTTTCTGTATTTCCCTGATTATACATTTCAATGCCGAACTCTGAATAGATGAGGATCGGTAGTAAACCTATAAATTATCAACTTCGGTCGCCCCACACGATTCATTTACATTCCGAAATCAACGAACTTGAGGTAAAAGAATGAAATATTGTCACATCTTAGAGAATGTTATGAGATAATAACGTTCCACTTTGATCGAACATTGGAGCGATTCTTTCAAGCTTTCAACTAACCGATATCTACGTATTTCTAAAATCCACGTGTTTCTAAATGTTATTTGGGGGATATGGATAAATTATATCGTGAAGAGGAAACGTTAATTTAAAACGATCCAGTGCATCATAAACCAATAACCATGTCACATCTACGAGACCGACACCCGACCGAAAAAGACACACCTTCCCCTCAAACAAAATCAACAACAACAACATTATCTAGAATGCCCAAGAATATTGGTCAGTTAGGAATCGATGTGGAGTCGTTGAGGCGGGTTGATTGATTTACATCCGGATCGCTGCGTCAAAGCTCATTAAGGCAATAGTTTAGTGTGTGTAAACATTGACTGTCTGGGGGTCAATATTGCCCTGTAATTAACTGCCATTTTTAGTGTTTGTGAATGCAATTAATTAACCGCAAAACTACTAGTAAGATGGTATCACTTAGGCTAGACAGGCAGTTCATCTTCGGATTAAGGCGACTGTCAGATTCCCTTCAATGTTGAACTGAAGTTATACACAATCCCCTTTATGTCATTGACAGCCAATGAGCTAAGGGGAAAAAACGTTATTCCCTGCTCTTTTTATATAATTTGTCACAATATTAAAATGAAAAAGGCTCGAAGATGACGATTTCCCCTCACGTTCGTTATTGCATATGTCGGGAAAAGGAAATTTAGTAGTTTGAAATAAATTAAGATACCATATAAAATGTAGAAAAGTGTCAAGAACTGCTATTATATGGCTGTAACCATTGTTGTTTATAAATTGATTTAACTTTGTATTGGATTTCATTATACATTTTCAATGACTTACAAACAAAGTCACGGTTTCAATTAGCGCAGCCGATTCGTTGCCGCAATTAGTACACTTCGTATCGCCTCTCATGCCATAACATGACATAGTTTCAGTCATAAATTGTCTTGTTACCAAACAACCACTATCGATCATCGATATGTTTCTCCTCACAGATCAATGAGCAGATGCCTAACAGTGACTTTGCCTCCGACCTTGCTCAGTTCTACCCTCACGCTAGCGACGCCGACAAACAGCGCTGCTTGGAGCTCCTCGCGTCCATGACCATCACCGATCGGATGACACACCGTGTTGCCAGGGAAACGGAGAAGAAGAAGATACTTCAGAGACCAAAAACAGCTATCGGATCGTACGGTAAGTCGAATAGATTTATTAATCCATCGTCGTCTGCCCGGTAGAGAGGCGCGAACACAAAATATTATCAAAGTTTATGAACATTAATTTTGAGCCCCAGTCGCCCCTTCAAAACGACAACAGAACTGACCAACTCTAAAGCGACCGATTCTTGGCCGTATGAGGGGAAATGTAATTTTTCGCTCGATTTATCGTCAGTTTGATGTTGGTCATCTTTGATGTGCCGGACTGGGTCATTAAGTGTGATTTCTGCAGTTATAGTAAAACGTTTGATAAATTTGGACGAAGTGCGGACTGAAGTGTGAGCGGCTGTCGTCAAAATACGGTCAAAACTCTGGAGTGTTTTTATTCCTTAAAATCTATTACGTTGTCTGTCCACCGCCCCCCCCCCTTCTGCTGCTCTCGACGCCTATATTTTCGAGGGGGTGGCATCTTTTTTTAATTATTCTCTTGTTATTATCTTCTCTGATAATTGAAAGTGTCGTTCACGACTTTGAAAGTATCATGAGCTGTTCCGATATTTTGCCGAAGACATGTCTTATAAATACGAGATTAAAGTTAGGATTACGATTGGTTAAATTGATAGCGGAGGAATACATGTAACTGTGGCTGGAGCAAAATGTTGTACAACCGTGTGATCTAATCAAAGTGGTTGAGTTGTGTGTTGTCGCTAGAAAAGATGCCATAAACTGCAAGATGACTGTCGCGTGTGCTGAAACAAGTTTATAATCTCTGATTTCCTCAAACAATTTCTCATGCATTTGTCAATGACATAATTATTTAAAACAAACATCTTACTATTAATAATTTACAACCTACATTTCAAATATACCTTTGCTCATTATAATTGTTCTGTGCGCACATCTTACTCTCAAGGACAATGTATTGTTTCTTCTTCCTCAAAAGATACTATTGACATTTGGATATATATGTTGAAATAATATTTGTTAATCGGGCTTGTAGTATTTCGAAGCGACTACCTGATATAGAATGACATGTTAAGAACCCTTAGCAACGGTGAAAACATTGGTATTTGCACAGTATTCGCGTGCTAAAGGTCAAAATAAGTGTTTGCTAATACCAACACGTTACAAAATAATGTTGAAATAGAAGATAGGGAAGTAAAATGGTGGAGATATAGAAGGGGAATATTGAGAGAGAGACAGAGAAAGGGAGAGAGAGGGGAAGAGAGACGAGACTTTATAGAGAGACAGAGAGGGAGAGAGAGAGAGAGAGAGAGAGGGGGGGGGGGAGGGTGGAGCGTCAGTGAGAAAAGATAATACAAAATAGAAAGGGGAAAGAGATAAAGAGAAACATAATTATATATACAATATATACATGTATAAAGAGAGAGAGAGAAGTTGTTATGCAATATGTTGTTGGACAGACACAGAGAAGAATAGTGAGATATAGTGCGGTATACTGTGTATGAAAACAGCGTAAAGGCTAGAAAGAGGCGAAACAGCTTTAAGATAATCACATTAACAAAAGACATTCTTTTCAACCTGAAAAGAGAGAAGCTGTTTTGTAAGTTTACTTCAAGAGGTGGTGTAAATAAAGAGTTTTCAGATCAAATTGAGACCCGGCTTGGGATCCTATTGTTTGGTGTTTAAGCCTTGGAAAACAGAGCCCCGACTGTCCATTGACAAAACTGCATGGGTCAAGACAATGAAGCAATTCACCCCACCCCTCCTGGTTGAATACTGAGTTACAACATAACAAAACTTGACTTGTGTAATAAATCCTCTTTCCCAAAGGCTTTAATCTCGCAATTTATTTTTAAAAGAAATTGAGTACCTCGTCCCTCACGTAGCCCCTATTAAAGGGATCGTTTAAAAATGTTAAATCTGAGATACACGGCCCTACATGTCTGTGATATGGTGTAATATTGAAGCCCTCCAAAAAATCGCGCTTCAAAATGATCAAGAAGTGCCTCAAAAAAGTAAAAAATCTTTGAGTGACCGGTTTTACCATACTCGTTTTCCCCAATATACTGTAGTGTTATGAAAACCGTTCGGCGAACAGTTTTCAAAAATTTGAAATTCCAATCAATGATATCTTGATAATCAGAAAGGCGATCGGCTTGTAAAATTCATGGAGTTCCTGACTGACCTAAAGATTTATAATTATCAGTGCAGCATGAGCTAAATCAAGTATTATTTCTAAAGGATCTAAGACAAAGTTACCGGATCCCTTTAATAAGAGTGAGAAAAAAAAGAGGAGAATTGGTTACATGGTTTCCCTAATTTCTATAATTATTTTCAGAACTACATAGCATGTGTAATGTAAATATTGTATATTTAATAAAATAAGATGTAACTATATATTAAACATTCTTTTTATCCCCTAGTTTCCTTGATTATAATTATGTTAAGTTTGGTAGAAAAAATGTTGGTTACAACAGTGTATCAAAGAAGCTGCGATGGCCGAGTGGTTAAGGCGTTGGACTTGAAATCCAATGGGATCTTCCCGCGTAGGTTCGAACCCTACTCGCAGCGTGATGTGGTTACCTTTTATTTTTTATCTCTGTCAATATCATTTTGACAAATATTGCTATTTATGATGACTGCTATTGTAAGATAAACAGTATTGGGAAGTGATAATTGCATTGTGTTCACCAAATACCATTAAATATAGGCTTTGTTGTTCTAATGATTTACAACACCTGTGGCATGTATGTGTTTGAAGGAGAATAAAAAAAATCCATTTTAACATGTTGTTGACAGTGCAATACAGGCTCATTGTGTGCAATATAGTTAATAATAATTAATCTAAAATTACCAAATAATAATATTAAAAAGGGGTAACAAAAGGGAAAGTAAAAGGAAACCACATTTAATACGCTGCGAGTAGGGTTCGAACCTACGCGGGAAGATCCCATTGGATTTCGAGTCCAACGCCTTAACCACTCGGCCATCGCAGCTCTACGTTTAAGAGCACAAATGCACAACCGTATTCAAATATAATTTATAGTTTTTAGATTAATTATTAATAACTATATTTCACCAAATGAGCCTGTATTGCACTGTCAACAAAATGTTAAATTTGATTTTTTTTTCCTCCTTCAAACACATGCATGCCACAGGCTGTGTTAATCATTAGAACAACACAACCCTAATGAATTAATAGGGACTTTTAGATTTGCTTGGACTGATACGTGTGACGTCCGTTCAAGGCATTGCCTTAAAAGGACGTCGATCGTAGCAATCCACGTTGTCGCTGAGCAAATCTAAAAGTCCCTAATGATACTTGGTGAACTCAACTTATTGATACAATGAAATTATCACACCCCCCCCCCCAAAAAAAAAATGCTTATCTTACAATAGCAGTCATCGTAAAAAGCAAATATTTGTCAAAATGATATTGACAGAGATAAAAGTAAAAAAAGTAACCACATCACGCTGCGAGTAGGGTTCGAACCTACGCGGGAAGATCCCATTGGATTTCAAGTCCAACGCCTTAACCACTCGGCCATCGCAGCTCTACATATAGGAAAAAGTGCACAACCATATTGCAATACAATTTGTACTTTTTAGATGGACTATAATTATTGCACCAAATGAGCCTATATTGCACTGTCAACAAATGTTAAATTGATTTTTTTTTTTCCTCCTTCAAACACATGCATGCCACAGGTTGTGTTAGAGCAACAGATCCCTAATGAATTAATGATATTCGGTGAACACAATTTATTATCACAATACAATGCAATTATCACATCCCAAACAAAATTTTTATCTTACAATTGCAGTCATCGTCAAAAGCAATATTTGTCAAAATGATATTGACAGAGATAAAAGTAAAAGGAGACCACATCACGCTGCGAGTAGGGTTCGAACCTACGCGGGAAGATGCATATGTTTGAAGAAAAAAAAAATCAAATTTAACATTTTGTTGACAGTGCAATACAGGCTCATATGGTGCAATATAGTTAATAATAATTAATCTAAGTAGTATAAATTTGATTCGAATATGGTTGTACTGTTTTACGCAGAGCTGCGATGGCCGAGTGGTTAAGGCGTTGGACTCGAAATCCAATGGGATCTTCCCGCGTAGGTTCGAACCCTACTCGCAGCGTATTAAATGTGGTTTCCTTTTACTTTCCCTTTTGTTACCCCCTTTTAATATTATTATTTGGTAATTGTAATTTTTGTTAGGATAACTGTTATCGCAAGATAAATATTGTGATGAAGATTGGGTGGTTACGTTACGTACACTTTTATTTTTTTTTTCACTACAGGTTTCATTAATGGTTTTGTCGTTTTAGGATCAACAAACCTTTGTAATTTAGTCTATGGTTGAAAAGATTTACTTTGAAAGGGAGTTTTCGCATGCTCAACACGGACGGAGAATCTGTGGTTCGTCTGCAAAATCGAGAAGCTACTGTAGTATAGTAACAGCGGAGTGGCCGCTATAGTACTTAAATCCAGAACGGTTTTGGTCCAAATCTACGGGCGTCCTCAATGATACCCCAAGTGAATCGACGGCCAATCTGCGAGCTTGCACACAAGATGGTATGGGAATTTCATCGTGTTAATATATGCGATGATCACATGCCTTATACAAAAGAACCATAATAACCATGGCTATTTTTACCATGGTTCCCACAGTATCAAATAATGATAATTGCATCGAATTTCATTTTTTTTATACCATGGTTACCATGGTAACCATGGTGGAAGATAATTTGGACAAAAAAATGATGGTCCCCATGGTACTTTTTATAACGGATCAGGGGAAGGAAAAGAAGGATGACGAATTTCAACGCGAACGGCTTTTCGTAACTTTACATCATCTCTAACGTCGAAAGCATAGGCTGCCAGAAGTGTATCTTGCACTCGATGTAAATTTGCCATGTTTGCGGGAGAGGGAGATTCCCAAGCGGTGACGTCAGCTCCTCCGTCACAGAAAAGCAAAACTGCTTATTGTAACGATGTCTGACCGTCGCTGAGCGAAAGCTTGCTATTGTCACAAGTTAACGGAGCAGTGCAGGATTATTATGACAGGTTGCTTTCAGCAAGAATGAGAAATAAATGGAACTTACGTTGTCTTTCTTTTGTAATGCCTCGTTAAGCTGTGATGGACGAGTGGTTAAGGCAAGAATCGGAAAACAATCGAATTTATTTCGTCTTTCTTAATATGTTTTCGTAGAGCTGCGATGGCCGAGTGGTTAAGGCGTTGGACTTGAAATCCAATGGGATCTTCCCGCGTAGGTTCGAACCCTACTCGCAGCGTGATGTGGTTAACTTTTACTTTTATCTCTGTCAATATCATTTTGGCAAATATCATAGATATATCGACTGCTGTGAGAGGCCTGGCCTGGCAATGTAGCATTATGTTGGCAGTGCAGTACAGGCTGATTTGGTGCAGCAATATAGTCGATAATAATTAAATTAAAAAGTATATCAATTTCATTCAAATATGGTTGTACACTGTGACTATTGACATTTATTTTGTACGTATATTAGCTTATTTTAAAATCTCTACCCTTGTTTTCTTCCTTTTTGTCTCTCTCTCTCTCTCTCTCTCTCTCTCTCTCTCTCTCTCTCTCTTCTCCCTTCTCCCTGTCTTTTTATCTCTATTTCGCTTTGTCATTCGATATCTTTCTCATTTTCTTTCACTTCTTTACCCCCCCCCCCCCCCTCTTCCAACACACTCACATCGGATATGTAGGTCTTTTGCAGACGGATCTCTCTTCTTTATTGCGCTGTCATGACAAAAAATTGGCAACAAATTGTTACATATCGACGAATGAATTTGTAAATTAACCTCTACCGTATTTTTCGTTTTGAAGGACGACCTGGTACACCGGGGGCAAGGGTAAAAAAGACGATGACGTCATACCGGAACGACTATCCCGTGAAACCATTCACTCATCATCAAAATGCAAGGTGAGCATTATTCTTTTCTCTCTTTCATAAACCTTTCAAAGTTGATAGATAATAGATCTGTTTAAAATAGGGGAAAAGAGTGGATTACGGAGAGAGCGAAACAGAGATATAATGACAAATGTGAAAAAACATAGTAATAGAAGGATGCACGTGTTTATTGATTACAGAGTCCGTCAAGAGAAAGAGGGAGGGTGGCAGAAAGATCGAGAGGAGTATAAGAAAAGACAGACAAACATAGACATAGATAGGCCTGGGGGAAGATGTAGATCGGACAGGGATATATTTTTAAAAAAAATTCTCATCATAGATAGGCGATATGCTACCTAAATTATTTAACGAACGGACGAAATATGATTTCTTTTTCCTTTCTTAAGTTTGATAGCAATAAGCTACAGAAAGGTTTGTTGACAGAAGCAGTCCTCATAAAGCTAGACTAGACTCCTGTATTACAAGTATATTTCCTA